CGATCCACATCATATAGTTTAATTCGAATTACTCAGTTATTTCGGAACTCAAATCGGAACTAGACAAATTGTAGCATACCGATGTAATAAATAAATATATATTTTTTGCGAATTAGCATTATTAAAATTTAATGCGAGTTCTTTTCATTTATAATATCAAAAAGTACAGCGATTGCGTATAAAGTAACATAATACGAGTAGTATTGAACAATAATAATATGATAATAATCAAACAAATGAAAATGTTCATAATAGAAAATAGAACATTAATGTCAATATAAAAAGAGATCGCCGAATACCCACTATACTATTACATTACACACTGAGATGCTAGATTCAGGCAAAAAATTTAAACTAAGTTAGACCTTAGTATTGAACAAAGACCTTTACATAATGTGCATCGCCTTGGTGCGAGTTCGACGACTCTATGATAACAAGTCGTATCAGCGTCCGTGCCATATAATTGTATATTTATCGAAGGCCTCTATATCATCTATATTCATACCTATTACTTAAATGTAATATATCTTATTTGCCATGTATTCAAAGAAAATTAAATTCAGAAGGTTGCTTAAAACCGTTTGCTTTTATAAATACGTGGTATGGTATTAAATTGAAATCTTTAACCTACTGGATTAAGCTCAAGAAAAACGTGTGGTCTGGAGTCAGGAAAAAGGTGTGGCAACTTCTTGTGCATATTACTTTGATGGTATACATGTATAGGTACATAAGACAAAGTATTAACAACTACCTAACGAATAAATATACAACATAATACTCTTAAACAGAAAAAAATAAACCTTTAATTAACATAATATACTAAAATGGACTTTATTTTTATTTTTAGATTTTTGAAATAAGAATATTTATATAAACACTAGCAGAACCCGCGGCTTCCCTCGCCCTAAAACTACAAAAAAATCTCTAAATAAAAAAGGTAGTTTCATACAAATTTTCATCCCCCATTTAACCCCCTTATAGGATAAATTTCGAAAAATGCTAAAACACGTATTTATTTATTTTTATCGAAGAGCAATAATACCCAGTTTTAAGTAATTCTGATCAAAAATATTTTTTGGATTGTATTATAACGTGTTTTCCCGAGGGTATTATTAGGTAATCTCCCGTGGTAAAAAGTAGCCTATGTCACTCTCCAGCCCTACAACTCAATCAAAGAATCACGCCACACAAACAAACAAACAAACACACTTTAACATTTATAATATTAAGTATGGACACCTAGCAAGCAGCCTACTTACTTTATGCAATTTAATTATTTTTAATATCAAATAAGTTAACCAGAAAATGTTAAATGATCGCGTTGTTAGCAGCAAATAGACATGTTACAGATTTACTAACCAGTGGGTGTTATAGGTCAGTGTCAAACGGAGTTTTCTTAATCTCCGATCAACCAAAGAATTCTGAGACACAGCTTGCGATACAACTATAATACATTTAATTCATCTCATGCCGCTTGATCGACCATTCGTATCACGCTTCTGTAAATGCCTTTAATACGAGAATAAACGTTTGATCAGACTGTTTCAGATTACTGATCATTGCCGACAGGTTTAAGTTGTTATTCAAATTCAGTTTTTTTATACTTTTTTAATAGTTTTTGCACAGCGTTTATACTTCATTGTGTTGTACCAGGGCTGGAGAATAATGATTTAACTTAAATACTTTGTTATTTGTACCTGTAACGTATATTTAAATTATTTCCATTGATTATTTCTTAGATAAATATTATTTCGTGTGTACAAAACAGTTATCTGTAAACTTATGGATTTAAAAATGTGTATGTATATCTATTGTTTTTCCCAATTTATCTGTTCGTAATATTGAAAAAAGTTTTGTTTTTTTTTAAGCTTTTTATAAGCTTACATACCTAGATTAATTTTAAAATCTATAAAAACTTAAGCTTTTATAAAAAACAGCCATTCATTTAAATTCCATCACAACCTGAGTATAAACAAATCAAATTACTTTTTTCACACGAAGTATCGCACATTTATAAAAACCAAGCACGCGTTTGATTGCTCGATACCTCTTGTAAACAAAAGAAAAATGTTGATGAGAATGATTGAATAAGAGTTTACATGAACAATGAACTATTTGTTAGTAAAATAGCTAAAAATTATACAAACTTATTTATATTATTATAAAGCTTACTTTAATGATTTTTTACAGCGACAAACGTGTTGTATGGTAATTTTCTCGCCTTTACATACCAAATACTTGATAAAGATATTTTTCTTAAAGATAAAAAAACCTAAAATCTAGAAATAGCTATAGGACAGCGTTATGGTGGCAAATTAATATATATATATATAATACATATATAAATATACATATATATATATATATATATATATATATATATATATCTTACAATGCAGTTTTTGTATTTTTTCTCAGAAATGAGATATTTTCCCGCAGTAAAAAGTATCCTATATGTTGATCCGGATAACCAGCTAACATCATACCAAATTTTATCAAAATCCTTCTAGTGGTTTTTCCGTGATGCGGTAACAGACAGACAGACAAACAGACAGACAGACAAAAATTCTAAAAACTATAGATTCGTCCTCTATGTTGATAATAATGTCTATTTCAATAAGATTTTCCACAAAAAATTTAATGTACAGATTCGGCTTAGCTACAATTTTATCATATGTATAGATTAATAAAATAAAAAGCTATGTGCAGAAAGTAAAATTAGTTAAAAGCAGAAAGTAAAAGTAAAATATTATTATTTTCATAGTACATAATATAATATTGACATGCTACTGAAGATCACATTATAATGTTGACCGGTCAAAGTTGCAAGCATTCTTGAGTGCACACATTAGTCATGGATTTATGAGCGGCTGACGTTAGCGCGGGGGGTGGGGGGAGGCTAAAAATAGCCTGCGTACAACAGGTGGTCTCACCCTTCCTCCCACGCTGGATCCCGAACTGTATCCAGACTGGCGTTAACGGAATTGAAAGAAATAGGCAGACTTAAACTTATACGTGTAGATGCATGTTCCATGTTGCTTTCTTAATCTTGCTATTTCCCGGTGTTAGAACTTGTGTGGTACCTTATACCTATCTGTTAATTTTATATAATAAGAATACATACTAATATTATATATTTTATTATTTAGTTTTCATGTAAGTGGTGGTAGAACTTTTTGTATGGTCTATCATATTTGAGACTTTTAGAGTTACATTATAAATATTGAAAGTTTTACTAAGAATGTAATTTTAAAATATAAGTAATATAAAATACGAAAATGGGATAGTAATAACGTGATTCCATCTAAATATTACAAAGCGTATGTTTCCCATTGAATCAATACAGTTAACAAGTTATTTTCTAAAGAGGAAACGGAAAAGGATGTTGCTGTATTTTTTTAAGTTTCATTCCATCGATTAGCCATAAGAAAACCGCAAAGTATGTTAATGATATACTATTTTAAAGCTTGTGAGGTTAATTAACTGTATAATATAAATATAATGACCATTTTGGAAAAGTGAAGCTGAAATGCCTTTTTCACATAAAAATTAATAAGAAATGAATCTTGATAAATTTTCAGGTACAGTGTACAAATACTCATTTCATTTCAATAAATATTTTAAACATGAATATGAGCTGTACGTGAATTATAGTACTCATACATTAATTAAAACTTATAATATGATTAAGTGTTGATCTTATTCAGTCTATACAACATGATGAGCAATAGGTATTATTTAATCAGTATGTCTTAGCGTCTGTAAATTTGCTATAGCAACTGAAGAAATTCATTTCTTGGAAGCCGGGCGTCTGGCAACAACTTGCGTTCTGAATGCATTTGAATCAGTAAAGAGATACACTGAGACGTATTGAGAATGTAGAAATCTTAGTTATAACGTTCCATAAACACTAACATGTATGTATAATATTTTTTATCAATAGATGAAACGTAATTGTTTGTTTTCTTAAAATTAATACCCTAAATCCTGATACACTCACTGTTCAAATAATTATGACAATATCGATTTTGATTAATGTGTTTGTTTTGAAGATGTTATATTTTGCCTTAGAATAGCACACGCCCACTTTTGACTTTAAAAGATCATTAAACTAACAGTATTCGTGCCAAAAACCATATTTAATATTATATTTAATGGCAAAGATATATTTGGCCAACAGTACACCGTATGGTTATACAATTGTATCAATTACTAGCGACTCAACCTCGCTCCATTCGGGTTCGTCCCTATTTCATCAGAGATGAGATATTTTCCTGCAGTAAAAAGTATCCGATATGTTGACCCGGATAACCAGCTCTCATCGTACCAAATGTCATCAAAATCTGTCCAGTGGTTTTCTCGTGATGTGTTCCGAGACAGGCGGACAAAAATTCTAAAAATTATAGATTCGGCCTCTGTATCGATAATAATGACTATTTCAATAAGATTTTCCAAAAAATATTTAATGTACAGATTCGACTCAGAATTTTATTATATGTATAGACAATTTCAAAAATAAACTAGATATCTTATACCTATTGTAAAAAGGACAATTTAAATCACGATCAAAAACTGCACCTGCACCAATTATGTATCGAAGCAAGTAATAAACCCAAAAATAAGTAGTAAGCTAATCCAATGATCGGTCACAATTTGCCACGCGCGACTTCTTGGCTAATGCCGGCGACCCTGAACGTGACGCTATATATAGACTGCAGCCCCTCTTGTTCCATAGACAATAACATTTGTCGCTTGCTTCGAGTCCACTGCACTGATCGACCATTGACTTTGCTGCCCAGTGCCCTTTATGATATTTATAGGGCAAACATGTAGGTATTATATCCGACAAATTGTACATACCCTCTTTCTCTTATAAGAACATACATATAAAAAGATGTCATTAGAAACACATAATCTAACTCGAAAGTAATAATTAAGTGAAAGTAAGTTAATAGTTCAAAAGCTTTAATTATTAAGATTCACCAAAAAAAGTTGTTTTAATGTTTTCCTTCTCTCATAGCCTTTTGTTCAGGTGTCTTGTATCCAGGCTGTTCTTCAGGTGTATGTGGCCAAAATGTTGGTCGATTAACCGGATCAAATGCTTGTTGTGGAAACATATCATAGTACATTTCTAACGTAAGGTCCTCAAATTTCGGCAATGCTTTAATTTTATCCAATTCTTTCTGAGCCCTGCAATACATATATAAATATGATGAATAATTTATCATATAAAAGTACATAACTAGAAAAATGAAACCTACGCATCAATATCTTTTTGTTTCTCCTCACAAAATTTCTTTATTTTAGGCTCTAGTCCTTTCCACTGCTCGTCTACTTTTATAGATAAAGTATCTTCAGGATAAGGCACCTGTACTGCGGCATAAGCAGATTTGAATTTTTCGACCAGACCGTCCACTGGTACTATTTTTTGATATTCATTCCAATTAATTTTTGGTGGTTCTGGTGGATTTGCTTGGATTCTAAATAAAGTCAAAATGTAAAAATACAATAAGTAGACATTAATTTTTGAATTGTCAAATTCATTCAATATTCTTGAAAAATGTTACCGTTGCAAATACATTTCTGTTTTTGCTTTAAAAACCAAATATTTTGCCTTTTCCTGTATAGGTACCCGCTTTTCAAGCTCAGCCCAATTTATAGCAGTCTTTGTAAATCGTTTTGCCATTTTAGTAACTTAGTAGGTAGGTATGAACAACTAAAATATTTCTATTATATTTATTTATGCTTTGCTGGACGTTGACATACCTAGCACAGATTATATAATGGATTTACGAATATTTTATATTAATCTAATGTCAAGTATTCATAAAAATGTGTATACTCTTTTGGTAACTTAAAATAGAGCCAGACATTACTTGGGTAAATAAAATATTTGTACATATGTGAGATTCAGAGTCTGTTTTCTTTCGTAGGCACGTTAAAAAATTACTCATCAATTGGGGTATAAATAAACCGATTATCTGCTTTGCACACGATTAGGCTGACATGCAAAGTCGCGTGTGATGTTTAATGGGGTAATGCTCCATAGGTCTCGAACCTTATGCTTACATATTACCATATGTGTTAACGCACTCTTATTTCGGGGAAAAGTTAAAATTATCTTAGCTTTATACACATATACATATATGCCCGAGGGTTTCTCAAAACTTTTGATATTAAAGGAACAGCTTTTCTTTCTAAAATTATTCAGTATCACTTAGATAAGCTATCACGATACGATAAGATTGTGCGCTGTATGTTTTTCTAAAAAGTATGACGATTGGCAATGATACTTCAATGGGATATTTTGTTAAATAAATTGGATGATAGATCGTTATACTCATTAACACGTGTTTCGTTGTATACAAGAACAAAGAAACTGCATTATCACGAAATTTCTTTCCTTCCTAACTAACCTCTTCTATCTGAACAGAATATTAAATTTTGCTTTTAGGGTACGTTTCTAATTTGAATATTAGTAGTAGCAAACCTTTAACACGAATATTAGTTAGACCGTCTATAATTACGCACCCCTTAGTGTTCGCTCTTCAAATAAATCGACACGCCGATTCAATTACAAGACAATAATCGGTGTCAAAGTGAGGACCATTTCCTGCGGATATTAGCCGAAGCGAGACGCCTAACGCCGAAATCTTCCGACGAAATATTTACACTATCACTTCTAGCTATTTCTTCTTTTCCAAATGACGAAAAAAACCAAACGAAAAGCTCCTTTATACCAGTATTGGTTAGAATCTCTTTTTATTAAATATATTATAAACATTTAGCACAGTATGGTGTTGTTGGATTTTCAATCATATTTAGGGCGGTATAAGAAAGTAACTACTGATTTAAGAAAGGGTATATAAACACGTGGTTACGGGAACTATTTCCGCCGGATCGACTCGTTATATTGGAGAGTGTTAACTAATTTCGATCGCTTTGATGGGATATTAATGGATTCAATGAACGGTGTCTAAGTTTTAATGAATTTCAGTTATGAATAAACATTTTACTAAAAGAAACCAAGTGCTTCGTAGTATTTACAAAAGTATATTACTGATAAGTTTAGTATTATAGCAAGTTTAATTTAAGAAGGTAGTAGCCAACAAAGATTATCATCCTGTAAGCACAAGTTGCAAGTTATAACAGAAAGAACATAAAACAATAAGTCAAACTATCGAGTTATAAGAACAGGTTCAACCCATTCATATATTCTTCGCACGAACTTTAGATTACCTTCTATCTTTTCCAAATTAGTATGAGTAAAAAGGATAGATATATAAAAGACACTGTCAGTATTTACTGGCCATGGTTGTGGTCAGGTACCCTATTGTTTCAAGCTCCATAAGAGCTCTCATAAAATTATATCAACAAAAAAGTAATGAAGGACCACGGTTTCTTTTGTAATATTATTACGTTTAAAAAAATTAAAATCTTTCTTGTAAATAAATACAAAATTTTATGGTATATTTGTGATTTATTTTTAACATTTGCTTGAAAATATTGCAATTTTTACATTCAAAAATTAATTCTGATTTAATTTGATTTGAAATGAGAAAGAGACATTTTACTAATAAAATAACTTATACATCAAATGATATTCATTGCTCAAATATTTATAATTTTAAACTGGACTAAATATTAAATGACGGAGGTTTTTATATTTTATTTTGTTGTTTCAGTCCCAGCACTATGAAGCTGGAGTGGGCGGAGAGTGAATCAGACTATGGTCTGGAAGAGGCTGCATTTTACGAAGCGCCCGCCGCCTTACCGCCACCCCCTCGCAAGCAAGTCTCCTTTAGCTTGCGGCTTGATTTAGTGAGTATTTTATGTAGGCCAATTTTTCAAAATTCTAATCTGATCTTTTAAAAAAACTGTACGATATCATACAAGCCTAAAAGTGAAACAGGGGGATAATATCATAGTTCAAAACATTTTAAATTTTTACTATATATTTTTTATAGGTATACAGATCCAAGTAAAAATCATGTTAATTTATGATAATTTTAGTATTCTAGATTAAAATGTATGGTTTTGAATATGAGGTAAATTTTGCACCTATTGGTTTAATTTGAAAAAATAAAAATAATTGCAATGTTTAATAGGAATTATTTAATATTAATACAGGTTACTCTTTAGGTATACCAACATAAGTGGATAAGTAGATAGTATACTGAAGATTTTGTAGGTTGTACTTACGGACCTTTCTACTGCAGTTCATAGTAGACTTTTTGTACTACATAGTATATGTATAATGTACATACTATGTAGGCTATAATAAGGTTGATATAATTTTAGTATTATGTTAATAAATCAGAGTTTCATTGAACTTTTTCAACGGTTATTAAAAATTCTCTTTAATGAATGTAAATTATAATCGTATTTTTAAATATAGAGGACATATTTTTTAGGTCTTTAATGCTTAATATATTGCAAAACAAAAACAGGAAATAAGAAATATAGTTATAGGAAAAGTACATTCATTTTTTAGAAACTCGCTAAAACTGGTATCTACTAATTTACATAAAATGATGCTTAAGATGTTTTACGTGAGAATTCTATTGACATTATTTACTATATAATGTAACTTTGTACACTAATAACTACAAAATATACAATTAATGATACATATAAAGCAAAATGAAAGAAGAAATTTTCTTGTCTATAGTTTTGCTTTGCAATAACGAAAAAGCAGTTTGAATTCAATTCAACTATGCAGTACACTTGATTTCTACGATCACCATAATTGCTGACGGTTGTAGAACTAGTACTTTGAGTTTTTTTAATGCTACTGACAGGTTAATAATAAGCTACAACGAGAACTGGTGCAGCAACTTTACATGATGAGCCAACATCAGCCAACTTTATAGAGATCGGCTGTTACCATTTGTAATCAATCGTGTACGTGCTTGCTTCTCTGGTTAGTTCATCGCAGAGCAGCATTAAGGACTATATATAGTCTTTAAAGTTAAAAAATAGAAGAATCGTCCTTAGACTGGTTTGGCTATATGAGAACGTCCGAGACTTTATACTATACTTTTAATCATATTTTATTACAATGTTAATAATTAGTATTCTGCTGTTAATGGTATATACTATATACTTATTTTGGTAAATATAATATGAATGATAGGAATAGTCTCAACGGACACCTTTTTAAAAGAGCTTTGTATTCATGCTGTAAGAGCTTAGGGCAGGACAGGCTAAAGCACCGCACCGGATGCGCCAGCGCAGCGGAGCGTGATCAACTGTCGTTCTTTTTGACACCGCCTCGGTATTGTCAAACTTCGGCTACCTCTAAATTTATTAATTAGTTCGTTAGTATCAAATATAAATTTTGATTACTAAAAAATGTAACATATAAAATAACGAAAAATAATTCATAACAATTGAAGACTTTTCTTTATATAATCATGAGAATAAGTATAGTCTTAGTAGTTTTAAAAATGTAAATTAATAAATTGATATATTTAACGTATCTAAAACAATAAATAGATTTTTTTAAATTATAATTGTTCAAACTATCAATCATCAACTACTCGAAAAAAGAACGAGTTCCTATTTCAAAGTTCCCGCTTTTTATTTTTATTTTTTATTATTTTTAAACTTGCCCGTGACACTGACGATACGCTACACTAATGAGTTTCGACATTAGGTTACTACCACGGAAAAGTGGTGATGACTTTACGAATGGGTTGTAGTCTTGTATATTATTACATATATAAGTCCTTATTTTATTTTAGCTTTCAATGAAAATGATTCTTATAATATACGCCAATTAAAAAAAAACATAATATAAATAAATTTTGTGCTGCAGTCGTAAGAAATCACATCTTCAATCCTCGCACGGATAAAATGTTCAATAGCCAAATAAATATTGGTTTCGGGATATCTGTTCGGGTTTCAGAATCATGCAGCAAATCAATGCTCTACTTCTTATTATACCAAAACGAAACGGTTTTGAAAACGTATCTATTTTAAATCAGTAGGTAAATTATGAATAATTGTGGTTAAGGCGTTGACATTTGTGAGGGGACACCTTTATTTAGTAGTGCCATAAAGAATAACTTGACATGAGTTACGTCTGAAAAAAGGAAAAGCATGCGAAGTAAGCATTAGCTGTGCTCACTTAGGCCAAAAGCATTTATTTTTGTATATAATATCTTGGGATATACTACAGAAATCAAAACAGTATCTGTGCATAATTAAGAAAAACATCTATTTACATGATATCAATTTTTTTTATATAATATGAAAAACAAACGTTTTAAGTAGGCAGTTTAATATTAAATACTTAAAAAAATTACATCCATACAATATTTACCTATATTTATAGTAAGTATACCTACTTGTGAGGTGGGCATTAGTCGGTTCATGCAACCGTATCTCATTAAGGGCTGCTACAATATCCGGCAACTAATTAAAGGGACAGTTAGCTATATCCGTTAGGTGAGATATGACGAATTTCTTGTAATTTTTCTTTATTTTTACAATAGTTATTATTAATGCCGATACTTTATATATTTTTTTAACTTTTTATAAACAAAATTATTTTCAAACTGACTTTATTATTAAAGGCACATAATATCAGTGTCTTCTTTGTTATATGTTTACTCTGGACATCATTTCTTAATATATACATCGACTTACTAGTTACTTACTTAATCATAGAATACTCTAAAGTATCATATTATGTTAAATTATAATATGTTCATTGTTTACGAATGAAAAGAAGTCTACGACAATGTTTTCTTTTAAGATTAACATGCGTGGGAAGGATAGCTGGTGTCTTCTCGTTTTATTTATCTTTGTGCCAGATTAGCGTGCGATGACAATGTTGTCATGGAGAGATGATTTTTAATAAGGAACAAGAAATGTATTATTTATAATGTAAATGTACATATGTAATTACGGCATACATTTTACTAATAATATAAACAGAATGAAGATGCAAATGTTTATTTCTTTGCCGATTTCAAACTCAATAAAATTGGGTACAGAAAAAACCTGCTTTGTAAATCTATCATAGAATTTTCTGGCAGAAAACTTATCATGAAGGGTAACTTTTATTCTTATTATAAATTATTATAGTTATTAAAAAGTTATACAAAACCACAAAGTATGTATGTGGTTTATTGTCTTTTAAAATTAAAGTAATTGTAACGATATAAAATTATTCATTCTAATTATATTCTTATTCATAAGTCTTATTATGTGTAGAGTGTTGATATACTTTAAGAAATTGTGTCAGTTTCTATCCAATAACTTCGACTTATATGTTCTAACTATTCTTGTATTGAATCACGTAGTTAACGGAACTGCTAAATCAGGAGGCTAATGAACGATAAACCTAATCTAAGTACATACATTTCGTTGAATAATAGATGTTTTGAAAATATTTCACGTATGAAACTTACACGCAGCCTCTGTAAATCGAAGTTGGGTATATACATAATAATTACATACATAGTGTATGTGCGGTTAATGACTTTTCAAGTCTCTAATATTAAAATGCTAAATATCGCCATCCGTTATAACAAAGCTTTTAAAATTCAAAAATTATCGAATATTGATTGTGTTCTGTCTGTCAACAAAAAGTTCTATTCTATACATATTTTTTTGTCAATTCAATTACAATAACCGTTCTCTTGTCATTAGTCAACAAACAAGTAATTTATACAAGTAAAAAGTAATCTCCATCTAATTTATTATGATCATAGGATTAACTAAGTCCATAGATTGTCTGTGCACGTTTAAAAAGTAGTGACAAGTGATATAGTGTGACAAGTTCGAGCCCGCTCGCACTTCACTGGAACGATGGCGCGACAAATAGTCAATTAACCTCGCTCGTATATTATCTACTTCCTTTACAATGATTTTGAAAATATACACACTTCAAGTACAGTGAAATCTGAAATTGTAGACTAGAAAAGGCTGTCACCTATTAAATCTAACACATAATAATTATAATATAAAAATAAATATATTTAATTAATAAAATTTCATTGAAATTCGTTGATTGTACGCTATTATTATTTCTAGTATTATATGTAGAGCGAATGAGTGAATGTATATTATTTGATGGTTCATTCAAATATAATGAATGGAAACACTTTTCATAAGGGGTTCTCTGAAAAAAAATCTGGAATAAATTAGGTCATACTGCGTTCGAAAATACCTTAAATTTATTTTAACTAAACTTCCCTCTATTGTAACGACTCTGGTATGATTACCGGGCATCCTTTACTTGAATTAATTTACTTGGGCTTATATAAAGCTTTGGTATATATAAATTCTAACTGAGTTTACAACAATCTTACACTCCCTGTTACTATTGCTATTTTGTAGAACATTTATTGTCGAAGCAAAATTGTAATTATAGGTCAGTATTAAACTAATAAATAAGTGTAGTGAATCAAATGAAACATTAAAAGACAACACGTACTCGTTTCAACAAAGTTTATTATTACATAGCATATGAGTATTAAAATATGTAAACTGAGAGATGTGTTTGAAAAAACGTGGTGTGTACTTATGTACGTACGTAGAAGTTATACTTCTTTAGCGTAACAGAACATAAATAAATAAAGATTTCATCCCGTATGTTAGAATTCTGTTTGTAAAAGGAATGCAGCTAACTTCATCATGTTGTTTTTTGGCTGTCGGTGTGCACGCGCATCGTATAAATTTTACTCTCATATTTTTTTCCAAACGTGCCAAAAGAAGTATAGTTTCTGAAAAATGAAAAAAAAAACACATTATAAATTATTGTAAAGTCTATTACAACATTGTCACTTAACACGCGACTCTATTAAATCTATTTTAACAAAAAATAACAAATAGTTTATCAGTCGTCGAGGTATGTGAGTGATTGAGATCGTGCCCTCGTAATTACTAGAGGGGTGGCGACCCCTTGGAGTCGACCGTGTAAAAATATCCCCACTGTACGGTTAATCACGGCATACGCATCGATGAATGGAGATAATTCATTGTTATGTTGTATAGATTTGTTTTATATAAGAAATTATTTTTATTGTATCCTAAAACAGGTTTAAATGTTAGATGAAATGATATTGTATTGTATTGACGTCGAAATCGTGTTGGTAAACCATTTTAAGAAACACGTTGTTCAATTAAGCAGAAATTACATTGAGACGTAAGATTGCATAATAATTTATATCAAATTATTATATATGTAGTTAGCGACAATTGACACGCGATCCTAGTCAAATTTTGCAATGTAAATATTTCACTGGCAACACCTTATTTGCGCTTTATAATAGTCTAAATAAAGATAAAAGTAGTACCTTGTGGCATTCTTCAGCATATAAATTACCAGCCAATGCCAAAAATTTTGCCATGTTGTTTTAACGTGAAATACAAACAAACAAACCAACATGCCGTCAAATTTATAATAAAACTAGCGACACACCCACGCTTCACTCGGGTTCGTCCCTTGTGAAAGACAATAACAAATGTATTCCATGGGTACCGTAGATTTTTCGGGAATAAAACGTTACCTATATGCTATTTCAGACTATAATCTATCACTGTCCCTTTCATCCAGATCCGTTCAGGCGTTCTGGCGTGATTGAGTAACAAACATCCATTCATCCAAATTTTCGCATTTATAATATTAATGGGATGAGATATATAGTATATACCTAACGCAATAAATAAAATAATAAAGAAATGAATTGAATAATGAATAATATCAATAAAAAGGAGACGTACGCAATAAACGTAAACTCTAGCATAATTAAATAAAATTTACATCTTTTAGTATCTAATTGTAATTCATATATGTTCTCTCTGATACCGGTATTAGCATGAATGAATCAGCCTACGCTTGACGAAACTAATCTAGCCTCGAAGGCACGTAGGTGAGGATATCACTAAAATTTCCAATATACACAATAAACCGCCAAATATCTTCTAAAATGTATACCTTTATAAAAAAGTATAACTTAAAGCACTACCATGAGATGAGGATATGGGATAAGGCATTTTAGTATTATGTGATAGCACTACTTAATAAAACAATTACACGAAAGTGCTCAACGGGCACGTTTAAAACGTGTACCTATATAAAAAATTACATTTAGGAAAATTTATTTTTGAAGAATGTTTGGTATCATTTATAGTTTTCAGAATTTTTGTTGGTGTGATTTTACATTACTCAAAGAAGGATAAACGGATTTCTATGGAATAGGGAAAATTTCTATCACTCTGGAGACTCGAGAGTAACTTGAACTCTCTACTCTGCGCAATTTGTAAGGTACACTCTCAGCGCCGTCTGTTGACGAGATCAAATTTAAATTAAGATAGTTTTATTTTATATTACCTAGATAAAAAGTAGCGAACGTATATGTGTATAATAAAAGTTAACAGGTTTACCTCATAAAAAAGATACATCTAAAAGTATAAAAATATTATAATTCAATAAAGCGACAATATTCTATTTATAACAAATATTTTTTTTTCCTTATAAAAATATAATAACAAAACGATGACAACTTACAAGTAACAAGTGGAACATATTGCTTGATTGACCCGAGGGGACGCTGATTCGATTTTGACGTTTTTATTGGGTGTTATGGATATATTCTATGATTAATCAGTGTCATGGGTCGCGAAGGGGCAATTGAATTGTATAACATTCAGGTGCTGTATTCTTGTTATTACTTAATAATCCTCCTCATTTTATAAGATACTTTTTGCAGCAAACCTTTTATGAAGAAAAAGTATAGGTTTATATTTATTCGTGCTGCTTCCGATCATTTTGTTATAATTGTATTGTATTCAGCTCTTTTTAACGTCCCACTGCTGGGCACGGGCCTCCCAGAGGAATCAGGCCATAGTCCACCACGATGGCCAAGTGCGGGTTGGCGTCCTTTACATGTCCTTCGAAAACTTGCTAGGTTATCTCAGACATACAGGTATCCTCACGATGTTTTTCCTTCACCGAAAGTCAAGTGGTAATCATGTTAGAAATGATTCGCACATGAACATATCAGAGGTGCGAGACCGGGGATTTGAACCCGCTTCACTCAGTTTCCCAAGCGAGCGCGTTACCACTGGGCTACCACTGCCTATTTGTTATAATAATTTTTCTATTTTCCTTTTTCACAAAGTTATAAAGAGAACAATCTCTATCTATTCTAATTAACCGGATAATTTGAGTTTTATGACGTTATTAAATTACAAAAATTTAATTGATGCAGAATTAAGATTAAAACTCCGTTTCAATCCTCGATACTTGTAAGTACCTACAAATTAATTTAATTCCTAGAATAGAAGATTGTCTGGTTTGTTCGTGTGCCTCAACGGTTCTCAATTGTTTGCGATTTTTCAACGCGGTGCATGTGCCGAACGCTAACGGAAGTGGCCCTCGCATGGTGAATAGTATATTGACTTGATGCGATGAGCCGATGAGATTCAAGTACGCACATGTCTTAAAAAATGAGTTCCTGTCCATATATCAGTCATAGGTAGGAATTGTTTAAAAAAGATTTAAAGCTATTAAAGCTATGTGCTGCTATCAGTATTACAATCCGTGAGGTTCAGTGCGTCATCCAAGTCGTGTATAATAAATAATCTTTACTTCCTTGCTTTTGGACTACTATTATAATAGTGAAAGTTAGGCAAATTTTATAACTAACAGTCGCCTATATGTTAACTACAGGTCATATGCCCGATTTCACCAACAACCCATAAGCTACCACCTACGTATGGGATCCCTACCTTAAAAGTCCCCTAAACTAGCCCCTAAATTAAATTTCATTTTACGATCGTCTTTAAGCTCATATTTCGAGCACCTAAATGTAGGGGGCCTTTTAATATTTAGGTGACCCCTATCTGTCGGTGAAACAGAAACTGTCCCCTAACAGCCCCCCAACCTGCTTAGGGGATCCCTTAAACTTATGTGACGTTGGTGAAATCGGGCAATAATCTTTTAAACAAAAATATATTTTAGGATTTTTTCGCGGATTTATTTAGATTTTTCTCACATTTTACTTATGATTGCTATAAAGCATTCGAAACATCGGGGAAACCAAAATCAAAATAAATCCGCGTATAATCCGAAAAGATAGTTTTACTTAAAATATGAAATATTCGCGTAATTCTACGAAAGTATTAGATTTATAGTCTATCAATAGATTTTTCATATTCATTCAAATCCGTTCAGCCTTTTCAGTGTGAATGAGTAACATATGTACAATACACACATACATACCTTCGCTTTATTATAATAGTAGCGTTATAACTTATAATAAATGCGAAAGCGATTTTGTGAGTTCTTTGTGCGTCGTTTCTTTTGCGCAGTGGCAAAATAGAATAATATTCGATGTAATTTTTTGCATAGGTACAAGTATATTTATGTGCCGTAGAGTGATATATAAGCTTTTTATTTCTCTACTTCAAAGCGGTACCTGTAAGATATTAGTCTGGTTTATACACACATAAATGTTACTTAGAAATGTGGACAGACTAAACCTTTTCATCTTTCAAAATTATTTGGTTATTTTTAAAACATTTAAATGAAAAATAAGTTTATAAATCTTATTATCAAAAAGATAACAAATCTATACCTATACTTCAACTTACTATATGACAGGCAAAGCAGAGCCTTACGTAAGGTGGTCTTATTTTATCTTGTGGGGGTATAATTTCTTAAGTGGTCTTAGGGTGCTACACTAAGTAGGGTATTTTACAATTTCATCTTTGATAGGGAAAAGTCTAATAAGTTTATATTAAAAAAAAATGTTACTATAATTAAACTTTGTCAGAGAGTGTTAAAAAAAAGATAAAAAATTTGCAAAAAAAAGAAAAAAAGCAATGCTGGCGCATTTCAATAGTGGTTGATTTTTATTTACTCTTTTATGATTCATATATTTTAATATTCAAACTAATTATAATATAATTTCTAGTACGATGAAGGCGGCGGCGCCCTCGAAGGCATCAAAACAGAACCCCCAGAGCCTGAAGAACCCCGAGCTATGCAGAAGGTCCCTTCACTGTCAGATCTCACAGACCCTGAAGCGTCTTTGGGTACGTACTTATTCATAATACATAAATAAAATTGTACATTCTTCCGCTAATTTTCATCATATATTCGCCATATCTTAGTCTAATATTTTTAGGAAAATCACCCATAAACTAAATTTTCTTTTTTAATGATAAATTACATAGTTGCCATATAGAAGCAGTTTTAAGCTTATGTACATACGGCGTGAGCACTGTTTAGTGAAGATTATTTGCAGTTTCCTTTTCTGAAGGTTGAATATGACACCTCCAATCATACCATCACACCTTGTAAATCTCCCTCCGTTTACCATTTAAATGGAAGGAAACATCCGTCTTCTACGTTATAGCTCCGGTTTGAGACAACTTTTATGAATACTAATAGTAGGTAAATCTTAAGACAGTTATGAAGTTATCTTCATATTCTATTAATAACTTTCATTTATATACACACTTTCCAATTCTAAATATTATATGTAATTTCTTTTGACGGTATAATTAGAAATTTGATTCGTTAGACATTTTATATTTATAAGCATGTCGGCACTGGACATACTTTTTGAAAACCTTCAAGCGGAAGAAGCTTTATAACAGTAGGTTGTAAGTTATTCTTTTATTCTCTTCGGAAAGGAAAACATATGGTGTCTACTGTCTGAGTATTTTTTCATAAATAATATAGTGCCGAACTGGCAATTAATAATCGGTGTAAACCGGTTTGGTATCATAAAATGAGTTAATAAGTTAATTTAATTGTCCTTACTAAATATTTACTTTGTTAAATAACTACTTTATTATCGTATACAATATACATATATACAACAGTTCAGTTTTGAAGTTTATATAGATTTCTCAGAGCTGACATATTTTCTCGCAATAAAAAGTATCCTATATATTGACCCGTTTAACCAGCTATCATTATATCAAATTTCATTAAAATCTCTCCAGTAGTTTATTGCGATGCTGTAACATACAGACAGACAGACAGATAAAAATTCTAAAAACTATAAATTCAGCCTCTGTATCAATAATAATGTCTATTTCAATAAGATTTTCCAAAAAATGTTTAATGTACAGATTCAGCAAAGTTACAATTTTATTATATGTATGTAGCTAGTCTATACTACGACGAACCCGAGCGGAGCGAGGGCGAGTCACTAATTGTAAATAAATGTACCTATTCATATTTATTACCAATGATACATATGTACATACAGTAGAAACATTTATATCTAGGGGCTAGAATGCTAATGATTAGCAAATAGGTGAAGCCCGAATAGGATAATGCGGCGCATCCTCGTTACGCTGCAGTTTCAGACGTACTGTAGCCCAGTTTACTTGTAAACTTGAACTTCGATTTCCTTTTACATTTAAAATTGTGTCAAGGTGTGCATATTATTGCAGTAATTCTGCAAGGTACATAAAAAGTTTTATTATTATTTAGAAAGAAGCTATATATTTTGTGTTATAATTTATTTAACTAACATTCTCAATGTTAGTTAAATAAATTGAGAGGTAGATTGTCAATTCCATTTCTACGAGACTTTTTAATTTTCTTACCAATAATTTTTTTTTGAAGAATCGAGTGCTTAAAAATTCTTCCAAAATATAGAAAATCAAATGCAACATATTAGAAGGTCAATAAACCGCATCCAACTTGGTGGGTTCGTAACAGGGTGGGCTGAGAATAGGGGCCTATTGTTTCACCATGTATTTAACGTGGGAACATATGCTCATATATCTCTTTAAGTCTATTTACATGTACTCTTAGCGCCGGATTGCATTATCTTAAGATCTTTTCTTAGAACTGAAACTTAAAGGCAAAAGCCATTTTGCACATGAGCCGACTTAGAGTACGAATGAAGTAGCGCTTAAAGATAATTATTTGATGAGACAAATATTAGTGAAGATTGTATATACCTACCTAAACAAAAAAAATATTTCCTCTAAGTTTTTATAATATTCTGATTAAACATTGATACATATTAATAAATTTAATTATACAAAGAAAAACATAGGTATAACTAGGCGATACTGGGAGTGTACTGTTAGTATAATATCTCATTTCAAGGAATATAACCTATCAGCAATAAAGTACAAAAGCTGCATCGCTAATAACATTATAATTTATTAAAATACCAGAAGCTGATAAGCTATCAGCTTTCAAGTTAACGAGAACAATGCTGTTTTTTGTGGTCATATCTCTGTTGTGAGTCACATGTGTGATATTTGTACTAAAGTCATATATAACGCCTAACACTGAAATCTCCAATTCAATTTTTGTTTTTCAAATCACATTTAATTTTATATGCATAAACGGTGGTAGAGTGTATTCGTTATTATAATGCTCTACCTTTCCCTACTTCCTATTTATATAATAGATTAATACTTTTTAATATACCTACATATGAATAATTACGACTCACCCACGCTCCGCACGGGTTCGCCCCTAGGTACGTTTTAACGGTTAGTACAGATTTCTCAGAGATGAGATATTTTCCCGCAGTAAAAAGTATCCTATATATTGACTCGTATAACCAGTTATCATCATAATAAATTTCATCAAAATCTGGCCAGTGGTTTTCTAGTGATCTGTCTGGGAACGCAAATTCTTCTGACGAAAATTCTAAAAACTATAGATTCGGCCTCTGTATCTACGATAATGACTATTTCAATAAGGTTTTCCAAAAAGTATTTAATGTACAGATTCGATTCAGTTAATATTTTATTTATATTATCGTATGTGTGTACGTCAAAATAAGACATTTTTATTCTATTTAAATATGTATATAACTCTCTTTACCTCATCGAAAAAAAATAGAGTATACTCGACACCTCAGGATGTTGCGGTGTCCACTTCCCCACGCTGTTGATCACTCTACAGGATGTTGCCAAAACTACGTGTGTTTTTTTTCGCTAACATACCTCCTAACGTTATGTTGTTATAAACATTTATTATTCAGCATTTAGCATTTACAAGCAAAAAGTAGTTTTAAATTTTTTATTTAAATTAAAACGTTTTATTTAACCGAACTTATCTTTTGCAATGTAACTTGACTGCTCTACCATACATATATGTACATGTACAATACTATTTTGATACATTTTACTCGGTTATAGTTATGATAAAAATATTTTAAGAGTAGTTCTTACACCCTCATAAGTAACATTATATTCAATGGCGTGTTGAACAGTTTTTTACGCTCGACCAAGTAGAAAGTCTCGTATGTCACCTGGTTTCGAAAAAATTAACTCCTACTCTACATTAAATTGGATATGCTTCAAATCATGCTGAATATATCCTTTTTCATAATGGAGTTCTTACATGTGTGAGGTTAACACACTTGGGTATCATATGGCTTAGTCATTATAATTATATTGACAGATACCTACTGAAATTATTTTACTTGTTTTAAATATTTATTGTAGGCTGTATATTATATTTAAAATAACAAAGAAAGCTAAAGTATTAAAACGTTGCACAAAATAAAGTCACGTACGTTACAAACTGTTGAACTGAAGCTGGATATCTTGATTTTAATCGCTCAGCAACAGAACAAAAACGGCAACGCGGAGAGCACTTAATGCGAATGGGAGGCAATACTGGCATTTATATTATTCCTTCGCGAAAACAAAGCTACGAGTTATTTCTGTCTAAGCAAGTTCAGATGTTGACACAAGAAAATTCTCAAGAACGGCCTAACATGTTGACTCGAATAAACACGTGTTCCGAACGCAACCGAAACGACGCACACAACCGCGATTCATTCATAAAGCTTGTGAATGGCAGAGGCCGCGCCTCGGCGAAAGCTCTATAGGAGTTATGATCGCCTGGTACCGCGGGCGGACTAGTCGGCGGACATGTTGTTTTATTAATCGCCAATACTGACCGCTGCCAACGCAAACCGATAAATTAGTCGATCGAACGAACTGAATCCCTTCATGCGAGTCTATTAATAGAATAAGAAGTATACAAATAACTATTGCAACAGCTTACATTTTAAGAAAACTTAATATGTGAGATTTTATCAGTTATATTATATTTAACTAACGTACTCTTAAAATATATTTTTTGAATAAAATAAATATATATTCACAAAAGTTTGTATCCAACACACTAAAGTGTTGTGTTATAATTGTAAAGCTTGACCAACGTAATGAATATGCGTGCGTGGGTGCCATACAACGGCAAACATGACGATTCGATTATAATTTAAAATTTATAATAGAATATAAAGGCACATTGTAGGTTTCAGGTAGAATATTTTTATAAATGTGTTTTTTATTAATTTGAAGATAATTTTATCGTGATGATGAATTGTTTCTGTATGCACAACGCGTCGCAGTATCACGAGTCGCATCCAAATGGGTTCGTCGTCACCTCTCGCTTGCTTGCTACCGTATTGTACGCATACTAATCGCCATTCATACGATACAAAAGCTAAAGTAAACCATAAATAAGCTTAGGCACGCTTAAAAATCACATAATAACGAGCGAAGGGTTTGCTCGTAGCAATATTTGTATTAGTTGATTAAAATTAATTGTTTAGATAACAGCATTTTTTTATAAATATCATTTTCTTTTTTATTTTATATTGAAACTTTAAGGTTTAAATCATTTTTGCCATTCTTTTTGAAACTTCGAAACTCTATATTATATATTTAAATCTATTGTTTAAATATACATATGTTATAAATATATTATTGCTTATCGATAGGTATCGACCTATATCTAAATTATGAAAAGAGTATTAAAGATATTTTGTATCAGTCTGTATAAATGTTCTTCCTACAAGGTATATCATACCAAATTATTATAAAATCACAGGTGCCTTAGAGTTCACACACTACCAGTATATTCTATGAAATTTGCGCATTATACTGAAGTGTATGCCCCAAATATGATTTATAGAGATAATAAATCTGTTGCTGACTCGTTATGATATTCCGAAGACGTTTGAAAGCCTGCCAACTTGCTGGCAAATGACTGCCTACACGCACTGCACGATCTGTGATGATTTAAATATACGACACTTTGAATATTATTATCTAAGTCTGCAAATAAAATTGTATAATAAATTGTTAAATAAGTACATTAATCATAATTATGATTGCGAATTTTTTGTAAGTATTAAAAACATATATATATATATATATATATATATATATATATATATATATATATATATATATATATATTTATTGTTAATGTCGTATTTCTCCATTCTTTATCCATAACAATTTATAATAACAAAAAGTACTCTACATTAAGATATAGAGCACTGATATAGTAGCGCCATCTCTTGGTAACCACAACAGACCTTATGATTAAAAAATTTGTTAACGTAGTACTTACATAATCCGCTAGGTGGAACTAGTGAACAGCTTAGCGTAGTTAAGCCAATAAGTAATAGGTGGCGTTGACGGACATGTTTTAAAAAAATATTTAATTTTATCAATTTGATTTTGAAAAGTAAATTATAAAATATATAAAATGATATTGTTATAAAATATTTTTATTATATAAATTTTAATTTCAACAAGTCTAATACGTATTCATGGTTTTAATATTAAACACTCTTTGCTATTTTACAATAATTAATATACAATTTGTCTCAGATATTTGTAAAATTTTATCACTCGCTTTAGAAAAAAATATCTTATAATTTTGTGACTGTAATCAACATAATGTTGATCTCTTTACACAAATTTATATATAAAATAGCCTTGCATTTAAGGTACAGAGCCTCACAGGGCAATAAAAAACAAGTCGGCTTCGGACCGTTGTGCTGTGACGTCAGGCGGGCGCCGTGGGAACCGCGGCAGGTGCGCCTGCGCCGGCCACTGATCCTGAACGCACACCTACATAGAAAGTTCCGCTTTTCTAGCTAGCTCCTGACTGAGAAACTCTTGCATATGTTATAGAATTCATATCCTACAGTATTCGTTAATCTTTTAAATGGCATGTATATACTAAGTAATATTTATCTGTGGCTTACTCCCTCATTATGGCTAATACAGTAAAGTTAAAAATAAAATATATTAACATTCACTCAACTATAACCTTGTAATATATAAATATCTCGTGTCACGGTGTTTGCAGTTTGTAGTCGCACTTCTCCGAAACGGCTCGATTTTAATGTTTTTTTTTTGTAAATTTTTGAGGTATGAGAATTGTAGGTCGTAATATATTTTTCACCCACCTATAAAATTAAAATAGGGCCAGGGGGGAGGCCCCCCCATTTTAAATCGCTTAATATTTTCGTATGAACAATATCCAAATAATTTAATATTATATAAATACATAGGGACGAACCCCACGGAAGCGAGGGTGAATCGCTCGCTATATAACATAAAGAAAAAGAGGTTTTTTTATAGATAGAACGGGGGCGAACCGCGAGTTCTGCTAGTTATACAATAAATTTTCAAACAGTGGGTAGGTTCTTAATAAGGTTATAATATACCTACACATATATGTAGGTATATTTATGATTTCAGACACTCATAGTTACTTATGTAGAGACTCCTGACCTGCTGTCCTTCGAGAAACAAAACGTATTTTTGCCTATAAGTATAGTCTAATTTATATTTGCGATCAATTAACAAAACTCATGTGTTTTAAAGTAATAGATAATATGTATAAATAATACATCTTGAAAAAATACACATATTAAATTAGGCTTATACTTACCTAATATTTAACAATTGTATTTTAGAACATTAATAATATTATTTTTATGATTTAATTCATGAACATTGTTCATGCTCAGCTGTAATATTTATTACCGTCTTCACTTTTTCTGTAAATCAATTATAAAAAAACAGAAACATTCTAATGGCGTAACAAGTTTTAAAAACGGTACCGCCTGTAACAGAATTAGCCGGAGACCGAGCGAGGACAGAACCAGAGTACAAAAATTAGATTCCTTCGGGTTGATAGGGAAGTTTTTCCCCTTTGATGCCCGTAATATCATTCACCTCTATCTTTTCAGGTCACTAGCTTTTAGCTACCGACGAAAGGTTAGGCTTTGACATTTTCGCCTTTTGAAAAAATATTACCTGCTTTTGAACGTATTTTGAAATATTGCTAAAAGATCTAATTTCCATATTTTTTTAGTACGGACACGGTACACTGATTATATATTATGTTGCGTGATATAATTTTGTTAAATGGAGTTTTATATCCTTTTTTTAGTTATTTATAATTTTTCAACTCTTAGAACATTTTATATTCACTCACCTAACTTATGCTACACATAAACAGCAGTCAGCGAACGGCAAAGATTATAATGCATACTGAAACCTATGCGGCTAGCGGCTAGAAAATGAACTGTAAAATGTATTAAGCACGTGCGGGTTAAGTATCAGCATAATTATATGTGAACCTACTTTTTAACCGACTTCCAAAAAGAGGAGGTTCTCCTTTCGTCGGAATCTTTTTTTTTCTTACTTCTATGGCTCAGAACTCAGGCACGATTTTATCCATCAGTTTTATAAACTCAGTGTCTGTATTTTAGAAAAAATAAAATAAACCCCTGACCTAAAAATATATTGACCTGTATGTAGTATTAATTTCGAAATATATAATGTACATGTTCATTATAAATCAGTTATTACTAAATTACAACAATTTGCATGAAATAATAATATACTTAATCTATTCTAAAGTTGATCGTTTAAATTTTTAATAATTACCAACGGTGTTGAATTATATTCTTATATCACCTGTAAGTAGACGAGTAATTTAGAGCAGTAAACAGCCTGCGGCAAAGGGCGGGACCCGAACCCGCGACTCGAATTGATTTATACTTAATGAGCAAAGTGTTAAACGCACTGTTTGAGTTAATTAGTTACAATTTACCATCGTTTTATGGTTTTTTAATTACAATTTTCTTTGGTAAATAATCGACTTCTTGATTAAGTTTGGTAATTATTTTCTAGGGCGTTGTAGCTATATATAACAGAGAGAATTATTATGAAATTGTGTTGTTGAATATGTAAATCGATTGACCCATGTAGATGTTTTGAAATGCAGACCATTTTTCGTGAAATTATTTTGGATTTACTTCCTTAGGTATTTGTACAAAAATTATTGTTCTATGTAAGTTTTAAAATTATTTCATCCAGAACATTACAAAGACAGGAAGTTTGAGGAACAATGAGCAATTCAAGATTCGATACGAATTTTTCTATTGTCTACTATTTTAAAGAAAATCTTTACAAAGCGTACCGCGAATTGAGCAATATTTTTAGTTTGTAATTCTAGAGCGTAGATATAGTATGAATTTTTGTCTTAAAATAGTATTTTTTGAAATAAAAACGTTTTAGAAAATATTAAAAATAAAACATGGCAACACTAACATTATTATGTTTTTCTAATAAATATAAGAAAAAACACATTTCCTACACTTTAGCTAGGTGGGGAGTATAAATTATAAAGTCATATGCTCGTAAAGAAGACTCAACAGTTGGTAAAATATAATTATTGAGCTGTTTTAGGTACAAGTACATTCATACAAATTATTCTTTACTCTACACTCCTTGCAACAAAGTACTACAGTCTGCACAATCCTTTCATTTTCTGTATATTCACATAATATACTTTGTTTATTGTGAGAACAAACAATAAAAGCCGTTTTCCAAAATGATTTTAGTTCATTAATCAATGATTTGAAATGCTTGCCATAAACTGTTTGTAATTGCTCGCCGATTAGCAGTAGTTACGTCATTACGTGACGTTGCTCCGAAAGCTCTTAAACCTTATCCATTATACCCAATTAATACTGCATTAAGGTTTGCTTTTTTATTATGTATAATAATTTATTGAGTTTCTTTGAAACTTGGACACTTAAGCCAAAATTTGAACATACAAGCCAAAATTTTATAGGCACATAAAGGCATTTTACAAGCTATATCTCATTACAGAAATGGCGTTTTTTTAATTATTCCAGTAAGTATATCGCTTATTTCTTTTAGTGAAAACCATACTATATATGTACTTACATACATCAAACTAAGCGAACTATACCACCTCTATTTATGTATTTCTTTTGTATGGTTAATAAATTTTATACGAAATACTGTACAGTAAATTCACCCTCAATTTAATATTCGTTTAATCTAAAACTGCATTAGTAATGGTCAAGTGACATAAGTTTAACTCGCATATTGCGTGCGCCCGCGCACTTTGAGCTAATTCGAAATTTGACGATTTCAAATGATCCCTATTAAACTGACCGTTCTCGGAAACGTATGTCGTCTTTGATTCTAGTATAAGCATCCTTTTGTGTATTTATTATCTAAAACTAAATAAGTATCCCAATTCATAATAATAATAAGTTTGTTTGTTTATTTAGTTTTAGCACCTCAACAAAATGTCGATGTTGTGCAATGTTAGGCATGAAAATGTTAATTTTTTTCCAATACTTCAAGGTACTATTAAGGAAAATTAAATAACCTATTACAGAAGCGTAAACATTTGAAACTGATCTGTAAAAAGTCCATAAACGAAACGAGGGGCGGCCACTACTTTTTTAAATAATAATCATTGAGAGATATTTCACGCGAATATGTTAATATGTTTTAAAACCTATAACTGGTGAAACTTTTTTATTAAAGTTATAAAATTACCGAGTTGTTTGTTAGTCTGTATAGTTAAAGCGATAATGTGGGAAAGCTACGACACCTGCGTCACGCCTCGAGAGATACTACCGCATTATCTTACTGTCGAAATACTACGCACAACATAAATTAAGGATTTAGGAGTCATACTAATAATAAAATGTTAGAAAATAAAACTATCTTTTCGGATTATTTCGCGGAGAGACTCTCCCGTGACCATGGATGCTGTAAAGCATTCGAAACGTCGGGAACCAAAAATCAAAATAAATCCGCGAAATAATCCGAAAAGATAGTTTTATTTAATAATGTCAAACATTCGCGTAAATCTAAGATAGTATTAATATGTTAGAACATAAAAATAACATTCATAATGGATTTCTCGATAAAATCACTCACCAACCTTAAGTTACTTGTTTTATCGACTTAAGTAATAAAAATATCTTGAAAACTAGAGTTAGGGATCATATTATGTTAAATAGGTGTATCGTTAAAGCATCTTATAAATTTTTTTTAGACACGAAGCAGATGCAAAGAATGAGATTGTTTAAAATTAAATCTCTTGAACGAATAATAAATCTCGTTTATCGTCAAGTGACCATTTATTTTCTGGGATTGCTGAATTGTCTTTAATTAATTCTAATTGAGAGTCCTTTCGTCCTTTGCGAGAAACATTGCAAAAGCCCGCATGCACTGTGGGAGCCTACAGTTCCCTCATAGAATAAAAGTTATAATTCTACTCAAAAACAGAATATTTGCCTAATAATTATTTATTAAACTGTTTTGAATTCATTGTCTTATTTTTCAATTAGGTACTTTCTAACTTTTATAATTGTTTAAAGTTTATAAATTGTAACAATTTTTAATCAAACCAGAAACATAGGAAACTAAAAAAAAGGACTCCGTATAAATATAATTATTCATTATAAATTAATTTTATTTAATAGTAAAATATTCTAAAATACAGATAAATATAGGTACCTCCTATACACGAAGAATGATATTAACGAAACTTTTTCTTTACCACTGACTTGCTACTGTTTCTCTTTCTAGAACAGTAACAAAATTAACTCATGAAATGTGCGTCCACGTTTCCTGGGAAAAGTCGTCAAAGTTAGAATTGGATGCGGTTTATTCAGCATCACAATAGGCTACCGTCCACGGCGTGTAATATTTCATTAGCTAGAAATCCGGGGTGCTTTTCCGGGCTTCCCGCGCATCCACAAT